GATCGCTCGTACCATAAAGCATATTTTTCATCAGTACTAGATTCTTTGATACATCTTCCTGAGCCTAATTGGAAATTAAAATAATAATAATAATTTATTCATTTTAAACATTTTAAAAATCGATATAAATTTGAAACATATTTGAAATTTTAAACCGACTAATAAAACAAAATTTCCATTTCAAATTGACCAATAAACGACTTCAGTTTGAAATCGACGAATGAACGACTTCCATTTCAAATTTAATTAAAACGGTCTCTGTTTGTTTATTGGCTAAAAATATTTGAATTCTGATTTTTTATAATACATTTACAATTTATCAGAGAATTTTATTCAGTGTTTTTAAAAACTGATCGTAGGGTTCGCGCCTCGACAATGGGNCTATTTTAGATGCAATTTTTTGTTTTTAACTGAGTTTAGTCTTCATTGAGTACTTAGGTGTATTATATTGATAACATTTCAGACATTGTTATAAATATTTTTATATATTTCGATTGTTTAACCAAATGTTCGAACCGTTTTAAATTCTAATTTGTTATTGCATTCATATATCGTTCGATTATAGAACGACTGTAAACGTTCCAGAAAACTGATCAAATTGAAAACAGTTCGTTTGATTCTCAACAATTCTCATTATTCTCAGCGGTAGGTGTTATATAACAATTACTATGGTTGTTGAAATAGTGAATATAAATGGAGTTTGCTTACAAAACCTCCGCGGGCGAAGTCATCTTATATACTTGTATTTACTTACGACATGAAAAAAAAACCTTAGTAGTTTATAATTTCTTTTATAAGTAAACCTGTCTAGAACGGAACCTGTATAAAGCGGACACAAATTCGATCTGTTCCGGTTTACAAAGGTTTTTGCAATACTAGAGAAATCAGAAAAATTGAAGTTTAATGGAACAAAATTTAACGATTATTTTTTAACTTCAAATCAGGAATTATGGTTCCTTAGGATCAGAATATATCAAGGGGTATTGTCTTCGGACTCTTCTTGTATAACTGCACCAAAGCAGAGCCAAAAATAACAAAAAAAAAAAGGAGCAGCTTTTCGCCTTGTAGAAAATGTAACATCGATCGAGTTGTTTCAAATAAATATCCGTCCGCCTGTTCCGGTTCCGGTTCCGTTATCTGAAGAGAAAGCTGTCCACAGATCATGTAGCTACCTCCTTAGAAGAGACTATTCTCTGTATTATACTTCCTTTCTGTTATTAATAACAGAAAGAAAGTATGACAATGACCCCTTAAGATTTTTACGTTTTTGGATTCGGAGGACCTTAAAATATTGAGAAATGCAAAAATATTTAGGAGTGTTTTCTAGATGTACGGATGAATGTGTTTGGGAAGAGAGACGATTTTGTTCACCCACTTTGAAGCTTAATAACTCCCTTGTTTTTAGTCGAAAATTTCTGAAATTTTGCATGGAGGTTTGTGTATTAAAGACACTGGTGCTATTAAATTTTGGCGGTTAAAGGTCGACGGGGTGGAGAGATAGAATGGATCACGTGTCGTATCTCGAGTGGGATCGAACTTAATAATGGGTTTTATTTTTTATTAGCATTTACAATTTATTTATAAAACTCCTTTCTATTCTCAAAATTAAGCTTTTTGACATTTTATAATATTTAATAATATAAAAAGTAACAGGAATGACTCCCGGGAGGCCTTTATATTAAGTTTGGTTTATTTATATAGGGCAAGACCACACGTGGGCAATCTGCCGAAGGGGGAAGGACTTTCTAAGGGAAACTGTCCCCTATTTAGGTGTTACAAATGTGAAAAAACCCGGAAAACTCCACGTGATTGGCACGTTGTTTGGTCGTGGGTTTACGCAGTATTAAGTGGTTTTATCCACTCCAGATGCCGTTATATTGGGAAATTTGCCCTATTTAGGTATTAGACAAGTGAAGAAAAACCGAAAAACTCCAATCCATGATTAGTGTTTGGTGGTTTTATCCCTCGGCCATTCATGGGTATTGGAGGGTTAAGGATCCAACACCCATCAAATTCTATTTTCGTCAAGAAGAAGGAAATCACGCAACATCATAACAAGATTTGAAAACATATTTTCATATTGGTGAAGCGAACGACAATAGCGTGTCAATCACTCGAGCGAATATATAAAAATTTATTGGACAGATAAAAAAAGACTCCACTAGAATAAAATGGGCACAGGAATCTTTCCGAAAATGATTTATTACATACCATTTTTTTTCCCAACTTAAACGTCCCTCGATTACGAAATTTTAATGACAGTTTTCTGGTCGATGCGAGTATAAAATTAAATAAAATTTTAATTTTAATTAATTAAAAAAATAATAAAATTATTAAGTAGTATTTTCGATATTTATTAATTAAATTTATTTCACAGTAAACAAGCTACAAGAATTGCTCAAAATGGGGTCCTTTTTTCTTTATCTAATACGACTTAAGTTTCTAATCTATTTAACAGCAACACGGTTAACTGTCTTTTGGGCCACCCTTTATATATATATATAGCCTAAATATATGAATAAAAATGCCCTTACTAGCATTTGGTAAATGGCATCGACTATGTTATACATCTCTTCTCTGGTAATATATCCATCATTATCTAAATCATAAAGTTTAAATGCCCCTAATAAAACAAAATATTATAATTAAATCATGTTTTTATGCATACATTAGCATAAAACATTACTTAAAATACATCATTACAGTGAAGTTTCTCGTCAACATTCCCACGTGACGTGACAGACAGAGCTCTGATGAATTCTTCAAATTCGATGGCACCATCCTTAAAATTTTTATATATTTATTTATTATTATAATATATACATATATAACTTCGACTTTATAAAAAGGTATAAATTTAATATGTCCTACCTGATTTTCATCGAATACTTTAAAAACGAGAGACGTAAATTTTGATGGATCGCCTTGTGGAAAAAATAATTTATATATTCTTAAGAATCCCTAAAAAAATAAATAGAGAAAATAATAATAAAAATTTATTCATTTTAAACATTTTAAAAATCGATATAAATTTGAAACATATTTGAAATTTTAAACCGACTAATAAAACAAAATTTCCATTTCAAATTGACCAATAAACGACTTCAGTTTGAAATCGACGAATGAACGACTTCCATTTCAAATTTAATTAAAACGGTCTCTGTTTGTTTATTGGCTAAAAATATTTGAATTCTGATTTTTTATAATACATTTACAATTTATCAGAGAATTTTATTCAGTGTTTTTAAAAACTGATCGTAGGGTTCGCGCCTCGACAATGGGCAGTTTTTCGGGTTTTCTTTACGTTTGTAACACCTAAATAGGAGCCAATTTTCCATATAAAGGCCTCCCGGAAAGTATCTCTTTTAATCCATGGATCATTTGGTACCTCTGGCCCTTTGATAGACTCCCAAAACCAGCAACGTAACCAGGAAGGAACTTATATTTTTGTCTTTGGAAGAGGAAAAATGATCGACATTTGTGATTTACAAGTCTACATCTTGTTTACGGCCTTGGTTATAGATACACTTACTTTTGATGTCATATTTAATTTCTTTCGTACTTATCTAATGTAACAAATTCATCTTTCACAGAAGAGAATATTTAATGGCAAATGGGATGGCCCAAAAGTCAGTTTAAAAAAATCAGGAAATTTAGTCGTTAATAATAGTTAACTGACTTTCGGGCCTCTCTAGATTGAAAATGCATATTCCTATCTAAATATATAAAATTACTTGTCCTGATGACTGAGTCACTGACTCATCATCGCCCAGAGCAAACTGCTGAACCTAGAGGTGAAATTTGGTACACAGTTAGGGTACGTCATGGAAACGCACACTAAGAAGGGATTTTTCGAAATTCCCCAGCGGGGGGAGAGGGAAAGCATTAAATTGATAACATTTCAGNTTTTTTTGGCCTCGAGGATCGTCCCCGAAAGCCTGCTGAATCTTGCGAATGGTTTACACTCGGGTATCGCCAAGGTTTTTGGCAAAATTTGATGTAATATCGCTGCTCACGTTGTTCAGTCATTTTCCAGCTTAGTGAAATCCGACGAGAGCGCACTACATGACCTCACTCATACGCCGATTGCCAACGACTGACGCTTTCTGCAGGCGGGAAAAAATTCAGGGCTGTGCATGACTGTCCCCTCCACAACTCCACCGAAGGAGGCCTCTCTCGCATCATTGGTTTACGCGGAAAAAAATAAGGTCCGATACTTTTTGAACAGACCTTGTATATATTTTATAAATTAGAAGATAACTCACCATTGCTTTATCTCCTTCTTAGTGACTGCTTAGATCAAAAAATGAGAAAATTACATTATAATCCCGAAGGAACGACAATGTAATTAATTCATTTTTGGTAAAAATTATTTAAATAAGAAAAAAAAATGGCGCTGGTAATAAATATTTGGTTATTCTAATGAGTTTTATTAAAATTATATTTAGAATTAAAGTTATTTATTAGCATTAGCGAGTGATTGAATCGATGGAATGAGGCAACACCAAGAAATTTACAGTTTTTTTTTGTATTGTATTTGTCAACGGTTTTTAAAGTTAGTTGTTTTTTTGTGTGACGTAATTCAAACTGACCAATCTGATGACAGGCTATTAAAATTTGAATTTTGGATGCATAATATTTAGTAGAATCCGAAATGATTGATTGGATTTTTATTAATAAATGGTCGAGATGCGTAAGCCACTTATATTTTGGAGGAACAAGTGTATTAAGAAGAAAAAAGACAAAAATAGTGTTAAAAATTGCATTATTATTATTATTTTAATAATAAACTATGACAAAAATAAAGAATCTTTTCTTATATACAAGAGCCCATTAGTGGCTGTGAATACAACGAGTTGGTCATGGGTTTTCTTTATTACCCAACTAATAATTAGGAATCAGTTTTCCTGAAAGTCATCCTGGGGTGGGCCAAGTATTGGGTTGCCTTATCCCATTTTAACACACAAGAAACACAATGCGATATTTTCGAGGCTTACATAATGAGGCATCCCCGTTTGCCCCCTTGATTAATAAGGTTTATTGACGTTTGTTAAGACCGTTTTTGCCACGGTGTACCGGTGTACCTCGGTAAAGCGTGGTGGGAGCTCTACACCGGGGTAGAGAGCTATTCCTAGCCATTATTCCGTTAATAAAATATTGAATCTATTTCGAAATTGAGGGAAAATATACCAAAAAGTAAAAGATAAAATTTGATTTTAGATTTTTCTTTAGGAGCATAGAGGGGAGGGGAGTCTCCGAAGCTACAATGTAATACAAATTGGTCCCATTTTCTGAACGAATTGAATGATACAACACACAGCTTTCGACTGATAAGCTTCGTTAAAACTTTAAATATAGCAATTATTTATTCTTTACAAGAAGTTAGCGAAATTTAAAAAAAAAATTTACTAATTTTCTACGAAATATTTTCTTTTAGAGCGTAAAAATTAAAATCAATCATCAAATTTATCCAGCAGAGTTGCGTAACTTTCCAGGCCGCAAAGTAAAAATTACGCGTGGCGCCATCTGTTACGATATTTTAAAAACTTTTTATATAATTAATTATTATAAAATTGCAAAAAAAGATTAATTTTAAAGACTGGCAATGCGTTTTATAAATAAATTGTGTAAATGCTAATAACGAGTAAAGTCTTCATTAAGTCCGATCCCGCTCGAGATGTCACACACGACCCCCTTTATCTCCACACCCCTTCGACCTTTGACCACCAAAATTTAATAGCACCAATACACATAATACACAAACTTCCCTGCAAAATTTCAGAAATTTTTGACCAAAAACAAAGGAGTTATTAAGCT